GTAACTAATTGTAAGGAAAAACCCATAGAAAAAATCCAATTTTTTTGTGCAAGCGCAGTACGTTCTGCCAAAGTGCTGCCTGAACCTGTGTTGGGTACATGTACTCTCATCGTCCCTAATAAACACTACCCCCCGGAATAAACACTACCCCCCGGACAAATCGTCAAAGTCTAATAAACATACCCTCCGGAATAAACGTACCCCCCGGAAAATGACCAAATTGACAGGTGAACTGTGTGTCTTTGATACTAAAATGTGCTCTTTATTTCAATACCAATATATTGGCAAATCTTTCACTGTTACATTTAATTAGTGAGTATATATCACTTTAATTAATGAGTATATATTTATATTGTACTTATTTCTGGGAAATACAAAATCCGTAGGAGAAGCTATTGCATTTTACACTTCTGAAATGCACTTTGCTAAGCCTTCTCCTGCAACTTGAGTTGAAAATCTGACTAACTTAAGAGATAGAAAATCAAGCCCAATTAAGTACAAATATAGGGGTTTAATGAGTATATCTACAACAAAATCCATTTCAACATAATAATTATTTGGTATGGTACATTGTCTAGTCTGGTCAAAGTCTGGATTCTGAAGAAGAAAAACTTCTGAAGAAAAAAACTTTTGAAGAAAAAAAATATTATTCAGCATAAAATTTTGATTGGTTTCCATCCCATTGTTTTTTTTTAAAATCGATAATGTGATTGTATCAATTTTAAACGCCCTAAAATTAGCTAAATCGGCGCTTTTACGGTGATTGCGCAATATGGGTGCCCTATGACCTTTGACTTTTTAGTTTTTTACGGGTCATGCTGCTCTGGCGCTAGGCGCCCTCCCCACGTCGGCCGTCCGTCTTGTGGGCAAATTTCTACTTTTTTAGGGGTTTCGGGACCTAAAAACTAACACCAGAGGGAAAATAAATCACATACGTTTTTTTCATGGTAAATATCGCTAAAATGGACCAGGCATTTTTCTGCCGCGTTGCCGATTTTGACAAGGACTTGCGGCCGCCGTGTGCTAAATACGTCGATTAGCTACTCGCCTTCCCCTTCGGTTTTGTGGGCAAATTTTTGCTTTTTCAGACGTTTTGGGACTTAAAAATGGACAGCAGGCGAAAAATAAATAATATACATTATATTCATGGGAAATGCCGCTATCATGGACCAAATATTTATCTGTGACGTGTTGCCGAATTTTGCGGGCGCCGGCCACTTGCTGATGGTGCGGTACGTACGGACAATTTTTTTCCCAAAAATTAATAAACGTACCGTCCCTAATAAGAATGTACCGGGTGGACGTTCGGGCCGAAAAAAATAAACGTACCGGTACGTTTAATCGGGACATCAGAGTAGATCAATTTCGCATCCACATAGCCTAGCGGCGACCAATGGGTGACCAGCATTCCGCGCCACGCCCACTTTGCGGTCGAAGAATCCCCCCTGACTACGGGCATGGCACGGTACCATTTTTACCTGCACCAACTTGCACACAGAGGGGTATTTGGACCCCTGTACAGACTCTGCTAACTATGTGCACTGTTGTACAGGCTGTACATCAGGACCTGGAGGAGACTATGTCAGACAGAGAACGTCTGAAACAACAGGTGCAGGACTACATCGCAGAGGTGTCCAGGTGTGAGGACCTCTTGGCAGCTAAGGTCAGACTCCTGCCACTTAGAATAAGTCCCTTTTCTTCTACTCCAGTTATTTTAATTTCATCTTATTCGCATAGATTTAAGAGCATTGGACACAAGACACATAATGTGGATCATTAAAGCTTCTTAAGGCTCATAAAACACAACATAATTACAAAGTTTGGGTAGCAAATTAAATGTACAGTGGACATATACTGGATATACACTCATGTAGACATATAGAACCTATAATGTAATGTGATTAATCAATTCTTTCAGAGAGTGACGATACTGCAATTTGTAGAGTATGGGAGTAAGTGATACTCCAGTTGCAGGACAAAAACTGGCTGCAGTGCCAGTATTTTCTAGAATAGTACTACTTGTGTGGAGGAGAAAAATTGGACATGTTTTGTGCTCTGTGTTCAGGACCGTGAAATAGCAGACCTGTTGGACAATTATCGTAAGGCCAGCTCGCAGGCAGAGCGGTGGGAGATGGAGGCCCACCAGCACCAGGGAGAGTCCAGCAACACCAAACTGGAGCTGATGTCTCGAGAGTCGGAGGTGCGAAGGCTGAGGGAGAAGGCAGACAGTCAGGAGAGGGAGATACAGGAGGTAGGATACATTATTTCATACCCGGGCCATGTTAACGTTCGATAATGGGTTCCCAACCGGGCTGTACATATAGAATACAACACGGTGTATTCCGTATCGCCCGAAGTACCAGCCCGACCGCGCGTCGGATCGCCCGAGGGTCGGAGGGAGATCGGATCCGCGGGAGGGCTGGGACTGAGGATGATGCAGAATACACCGTGTATTTTATTTATGTCATACCCACACATGTGGACAGACCGTGCCGTGGGAGCGCCGAGACAGAGGGGGAGGGGGGGCGGCCATGTGCTCTCGACAACACTCCCGGGCCCTCCACGGCCTCTCGAGCTCCTTCCGGGTCATCAGATTCGGATTCCGAAACTGAATCAACCGAGGAGTCTAGTGCAAAAAGACCGAGGCTTTGTGTGAATTTTCTTTCATTTCTATAGATTTTTTTTAATATTTATTTTTTTTTTTGGTAAGATCATTACTGTGTTATTTCCATAGCGATGCACCAGTGCACCTAATCAAAAAAATTTCGATCCCTGCATACATATCCGGGCTTTGGTTATTCTTCAAAGTTCTCTGTAAAAATTGTGCAGGTTATTTTCAATGTGTGTAGGAAAAAGTATTTCCAGCCCTGCTCAAGCTGAAAGTGTATACATGTATAAAATATTATATACTGAAAAGTAAACTGTACAATGTACTTAAAATTGCTTAATATGCTGAATAAAAAGTAGTCAGAAGTAAGATTTTGACAAATATGTTGATGTATGTTTCCACCAATGCTTTCACTACCAGGAGTACACAACTGGGACAGAATGTGTAAGTAACTGGTACATTCAATACTGTGCATGCCTTTAATGACACATTGTATTTTTGCACAGAATGCGAGATTGCTAAATATAAATGGCGTTTCATCAGAACATTTTGTAACAATGACATTCCAGGTTACACCTGCCTAGAGGCATAGTACACCTGCCCAGAGGCGTGCCCAGGGTGCATCAGTGCCCCGAAGTGTACAGTGTAGTACACATGCCCAGAGGCGTGCCCAGGCTACACCTGCCCAGAGGCATAGTACATGCGTGTACACCTGCCCAGAGGTGTACCCAGGGTGCATCTAGTGCCCCGAAGTGTACAGTGTAGTACACATGCCCAGTGGCGTAGTACATATGCCCAGTGGTGTAGTACATACATGTATGCCCAAAGACGTAATACACCTGCCCAGAGGTGTGCCTAGTGTATAAGTACATGATTGTCACATGCCCAGTGGCGTACCCAGAGTGCCCAAAGACGTAGTACACATGCCCAAAGGTGTAGTGCACATGCCTAGGGGTGTAGTACACCTGCCTAGAGACATAGTTCACCTGCCCAGAAGCGTAGTACACCTGCCCAAAGACGTAGTACACCTGGCCAGAGGTGTATCCAGGTTACCCTTCCTGATGTCGTGTGATTAACTGGAGTCCATCTCCATACATGTGAATGACAGACTGGTGTAGTTTATACTGTACACCTGTTTCAGCACCTGGCAGCCCAGCAGGCGTACAAGCTGCAGGTGTCCAACCTGTACATGTAAATGACATACAATGTAGTTTGTACTGTACACCTGCTGCAGGTGTCAAACCTGTACATGTAAATGACATTGTACTGCACACCTGTTGCAGCACCTGGCAGCCCAGCAGGCATAGAAGCTGCAGGTGTCCAACCTGTACATGTAAATGTAACTGTACTGTACACCTGTTTCAGCACCTGGCAGCCCAGCAGGCGTACGAGCTGCAGGTGTCCAACCTGACAGTGTCACTGCAGAACCTGGAGGAGGACCTGCGGCAGGTGGAGGAGGAGAAAGGTGCCCTCAGCACTGACCTGTCGTCTGTCCGCGACCTGTGTGTCAAACTGGACACTACAAAGGAAGGCTTGTCTCGACAGCTCACACAGAAGAGTGTGGACTCAGAACAGGTACATGGAAGGCATGTGGGACTCTAGACTAGAGTCTAGCCTAGTGGCCTTCCCAACTGACCTGCCGTAACTAAAACTTGATTCCAAAAGCTCATTCTCCCATGCAGAGCTATCCGGTGGCAATGCGTTAGCCTTGGGATTTCTACCAGACTAACTATACTGGCACGTCAGGAACTGGCTACATCACACCAAACAACTTATGTTACATCTACCCTTTGAACATCTATCTCTAAATAGTGTTTAAAGCTATCTAAATGATAATGCCCCTAATGTATTTGGTGACAGCAAATTCCACTCTAGTCATTTTGTACATAATGCATAGTCTGTCTTACAGTGACACTGTAGGTTTGTTTTTGATTTCTGTGACATCAGCACCCCTTTAATGTTATGGAGACTCCTTTTGTCTCTTACAGGCCAAAACAGCATTAGAAGAGCTCCGGAGAGAAGCGGACTTGCTTCGTAGCCAAGTGTCGAGCGAACGCGCGTCCGTGCGTAACTTGGAGGGTCTGTTGTCGACCAATCGCGAGCGGGAGTTTGCCTCGCAGCTGACTGAGCAGGAGCAGCGCTCGGAGATCCAACTGTTGAAAGACCGACTGACACTGGCAGAGAGCAAGACGTAAGCACCAACCACAACCTTAGACATGTCTGTACGGGGAACAGTCTTAACAAGACATTTTTGTCTTCGTCAGAAAGACTATGAAATTGTCTCGCCGCATTGTGGGTGACTGCGGATTTATCGGAATAACTCTTGAAGGCATTGTTCGACGTCCATGATTTTTGGCAGGCAGATTACCATTGTTGAGGCCAATGCCAAGTGCGAATTTGGGCTTCGTGGGGAGTCCATATGTCACTGCAGTGGACTTTTTTGTGTTTGTGGCTTGTGAGCAAAATAACTCGAGTATATTTAAACAGATGTTCATGATTTTTGGTAGGCAAGCTACCATTGTAGAGGCCATGGTCAAGTTCGAAATAGGGCCTCGTGGGGGGTCCCTATGTCGCTGCAGTGGACCTTTTGTGTTAGATATATAATGAACTACCCCCACCAACCTCTGCATTGATTCACATGGGGGACAGCTGTCCCCGCATCTGGTATCAATTGCTTACAATAGAGGGGCCTCTAGTTTATTTTAATCTTCTTATACATGTAAGTCATTAGTCCACTGGCAAAGTACCTTTAGTGAAATTTTACTCTTTGATTGGTGAGTCTGAAGTATACATTGTAACTTGAAAGACTCCAAAATGATGAAGCAATGTTTTGAAGTCACAAGAACTTTTGTGGGAATTTGTGAGACATTGAGCTAGAACAGACTTGTAGGACAAATGGTTTGACATCTGTATTCTGTACGTCCCATGTTCCCCTGTAAGACAGTCTAAGGTTCTGGTTGTGTTCTATGTGTTGCTGCTGTTACATGCAATGTCTGTTCTCTCAAATACCCAACTTATAGGGGTATTACATGTACCTGTACTGGGTACTGGTAATACATCTCTTAGGCCACACCAATTTAATTTCTTGGTTAACGGATTTTTCTAGAAAAAACATTGAGCGGGCGGACGAAAAAAATAAAAATAAAAATAAAAATAAAAACAGGCCTAGGCATCCTATTATGGCCCAAAATGGTACGATAGGAACCATGAAGTCAACATACCAGGCTGGTTCAAAATTTAAACAATGAATTTTGAACTTATAATGATACCACTGCATTGAAAGATGGAATAACTGTAACAACTAGGATGAAAAGGACTATTTTCAACTGTTCAGGGCAAAATATGAGCATTTTGCAGTAGATTCTGAATTTTTTTTTATTGCAAATCAGAAAAAAATGAAGTGGGCAAATCCGTTAACCAAGAAATTAAATTGGTGTGGCCTTATTCACAAAAACTCCATGAAGTTTTTTGACTGATTTTGCCCAGTCAGAGCCAGCAGCGTGAGATCACCACCCTGCGTACACGAGCCGCACAGCTGGAGTCAGACCTGGAGAGAACAAAGAGGAATCTCACAGCAGAGAGGTTTGAGAAGTACGTTGTAGCATTTTACTTGACTGCTCACAAACTCTGACTCTTTTTCAACAGTTCCCAAGTTTGCTTCCCGCCATATTTTCTGTATTATATTGATTGTTTATTGTTTATTGAAAACCAAAACCCATCGCAGCCTCACGGCTGAATTGTGAGATTTGTCCACAAGTCGCGAGCACGTTGCACTAATATGTTACTACATTTCGAAATATTCAGAAATACCTTAAATTGAAATTACTACTTACAACATTTTAAGATCTTGCAACATTTTAAATTGCTAAAATACGCAATATATTGTACATAAATTATTTAAAAACATCTTTCATCTATTCATAATCTTTAAAATAGAATTAAACTAGTATTTTGTAGCTACGACATTTAAGCGAGTTAAAAGCAATTCTGAAAGAATGGCATAAAAAACACATTAATTCGGATACTATACTTGAAAGGGGCACGAGATAACGGCGTATTACAAACTAACAAAGTCTCATTGTACAGTCTGACAGCAGTGTACAAAAATAATTTTCTCAGCCGTTCTGTTCTGGCCAAGGGAAGGCTGATGTTGTCATGTGGTTTCTCAGTTTACGCCTCGTTGAAGTCAGTCTCTGAGGTGGAACCAGTTCGTGAAGTGGATGTTCTAGTTTCGGCATGTTCTTTTAATTTTAGTAGGGTAATGGCAGCCAGCTCTCTCCTTTCCTTGAGGGAAGGAAGATTTGGCACAGTCCGTTTGCCACCACAAGAGATAATATTATAGCACACATCAAAAGTGTTGGTGAAATGATGATGATGGTGAAAAGTGCTCATCACAGGGTGATGTTAGCTCAGGAAATAAAATGTATAATAATATTAATGCAAATATGAAACGAAGAGATGCAAATGTATGCTGGGACTGGCTTGTGCTGACTTTTCCAAGGCAGGGCATTGAAATTTTGAATGTAACTGAGGAGAACAGTGTATATTTGTTGTAATTGTGTCTGTTAGCCGGGTAATACTAGTCATGTCAACTACAATCAGATAAGGTCGTATGTTAGTGTCATGAGCACTTTAATGACAATATTATTTGACTTTCCTTGTCTCTTTGATTTGATTATTTATATTTCTTTCTTTTGTTATAATATAATGTCATGTAGTTTTCAGGGGTTATCCCCCTAGGAATCTTTGAAAAACGCCAATAGGCGACATGTATTTCCTGGTTATATAAATAAATAAACAAAAAAACAATAAACACTAGTAGTTAGAATTTTTGGTGTATGTTTTGTGCAGGGAACGAGCATATCAAGAGCTGAGGCGGCGTGGTTTCTCCCCATCCCGGATCTCCCCACCAACAGACACCTCCGGTCACTACTCACGCTCTCCCTACAGACGGTCAACCAGTCCCCGCAGGTCCAGCCCCCCCAGGAGCATTCTCAAGTCTCCTGACAGATCCAGACCTCGCTCCCCTGACAGATCGGTCACACGGTCCCCCCTTACTCTCAGCTTTGGAGACCCCAACGACAGGTCAGGAGCCATCTCACCACTAGCCACAGACAGAGAGGTACGTACAGCAACATGGACCCACTAGGTACCGTGATATACATGTAAGATGGAACATATACGCTTGTTTATGAACCTAATATATACATAACAGCCTCCAATTTAAAACCAGAATTCCAGAACTGGAATTCTGCAGAATCCTGACTCCAGTTCCAGCATTCTGGCTCTAAATGTAGTTCCAAAATTCTGCAGAATCCTGACACCAGTTTCAGAATTCTGGCTCTACATGTAGTAACTGTTCCAAAATTCTGCAGAATTCTGGCTCCAGTTCCCAGAATTCTGCAGAATTGGGTTAATCCCCAAGGGTTCCTCGATGGTAGCTTTGTATTTCTTACAGCATAATTTATTTATGATATTATCCCATCTACATGTAGGTTTGCTAAGAACTGGGAATTGGTCTGGAATTAAACTGGAATTCCAGATTAAACTGGAGGCTGTTCAATGATAGAATTCATTGATTCAGTTCAGTTCAGTAACTGTGACTACCAGCCTGAGAGTACATGTACATTGATGTACATTGTACTTTGATTTGCTGAAAGCCTAGTTTGTTGGACTCATAAATTGAAATGCTGAATGATGCTCAACTTCTCCACATCTGATGTGCACCACTTGAATTAGTTTGCCAATGAGTAATTTGACTGCAAAAATTGCCTCCAATTTAATTTCTTGGTTAACGGATTCGCCCGCTTCATTTTTTTCTGATTTGCAAATAAAAATAGAAATTCAGAATCAACTGCAAAATGCTCATATTTTGCCCTGAACAGTTGAAAACAGTCCTTTTCTTCCTAGTTGTTACAATTATTTAATCTTTCAATGCTATCATCATCATAGCATCATTAAAAGTTCAAAATTCATTGTTTAATTTGAATCAGCCTGGTGTGTTGACTTAATGGCTCCTATCGTACCATTTTGGGGCATAATAGGATGCCTAGGCCTGTTTTTATTTTCTTATGTTTTAACCCGCCCGCTCCATTATTTTTCTAGACAAATCCGTTAACCAAGAAATTGAATTGGTGTGGCCTTAGTAACAATATATTCCAAATCAATCCTTAACAATTAATTTTTTTGTGTTTTATGTCGTAAATCTTGCCAATGCCTTTAAAATTTAACAAAAATTACAATTTGATGCACTTGTATTTTAAGATATTGAGAGATGAATCACTGTAGGCAAAACAGACATCGCTTGGAAATATATAGTCTCATTTTAACTTCAGCTTGAGAATTCCATGACCTTTGGTGTTGTGAAAACTACATTGTTCATAGTTTGTGAGCTTGAACATATCCTACTACAAATGTAAATTGTATTGCATCCATTAGACCTCTCCTAACACCTGTGCAATGGTGTAAAGCATACACACATGCAGTTGTACATGTAGACCTGTAGTATAGGACATCATCTCTTTTGTCACACTGCAGAATTAGTAGCTGATTTCACATGGTCACAGCAGCTGAATTCAGCCATGGCCTTATAGACTGTTTACCAGAATTTCTTCAGTCATTAACAGCCACATCAAGATACTTGGTGCTCATTAGCCATTTTTGTTTGTTATGAATATGATTAGGCCACACCAAATTGATTTGTTGGTTCTCGGAAGAAAAAAGAAGAAAAAAATATAAAGTGATGGGGAAAAAATTAAAATAAAAACAGGCCTAGGCATCCTATGATAGCCCCAAATGCTACGATGGGAGCCATGAAGTCAACATACCAGGCTGGTTTGTAATTCAAGCAATGAATTTTAAACTTTTAGTCAAACCACTGCATTGATAGATAGAAAAACTGTAACAAGGGAAGGGACTTCCTTCAACTGTTGGAGTCAAAATCTGAGCATTTTGGTATTTTGGAGTGATTCAGCGCTGAAATGTTTAGTTGTTTTTTTTTTGCAAATCAGAAGAAAATGAAGCAGGCGAATCCGTGAACCAACAAATTAAATTGGTGTGGCCTTATGTCATGTTTCTGTCATGCACTTGACGTTTGTACTGACTCGTTTTTCTGGTTTCATGAATCCACAAACTTTACCTGAAATGCAGATGGCCTGCTCCTGGCAAGATCTAGATATGGGCATTCAAACTTACTCTGCTTGAAACAGTTCTGCTCCAAAGTGCTTCATTCTGGCTGAGGCTCACCCCTCGAATGTTGCAATATCTGACACATGGTACAAAGGGCTACTGTGCCCAAATATTTCAGTGTGGAATTTTTTCACTTAAAACAAGTTGTCAGCTACGATGTGCAGAATTTTCTCTACAACTTCCAATTTGTCTACTGGGGCCTGCTGACTCCACTGGTATGTGTATGACATGTTGCTGTGAGGTGATGTTCTGTCTGGTGTGTTTTGTGTCAGATGGAGGGGGCAGACTACCAGTTAGAGGGGGAGGAAGGGCAGGACCGGGATCGGAGTGAGTGAAGCTGTATTATCTCTCAGGCCTGGGAAAAAAATGTTGTTTCCTGTTTCCCGACAGACAAAACTGCCGACCCTAGCCTTGTTTTGGGGGGTGGACCCCTGCAAGGGACACCAATTTTTTTCAGAACTGAAACAGGAAACACAACATTTTTTTCCCTTAGGCCTCATGCATGCCTCATCTAGGGTGTGGTCAGGCAGGGAAGGATGGGTCATATTCACTACAAACCTTACAAGTCCTCTGTTGTTTTTTACTCCAGAAAATGTTTAAGTTTTGACTAAATTCTTTAGACTAAATTAGAGGTTACATGAGAGAGCAATTTAGTAAGAGAATTTTGAAATATTATCTCATTGGTACTTATGCATAGTCACTGTGCATACACATGTAATCTCTTACAGAATGTACTACATGTATGTACATTCTGCATGAGGCTGGTATTCTATTGTCATTGATATCAAATTCCATATCTGCCCAAATGTGTTGGTCTTAATTGTAGTTTGTAACAAAGTCAAGCATGTTTTTAAACATTTAACTTAATAAGAGACTTGTATGTACATGTACAAATGGACTGGTAACCTTGTATTCCTTTGTTTTATGAAGGTACTTCCACCTCCAGTTCACTTCCAGATGTTCAGATTTACTAGTACTTTAGCGCTATGTCTCTCTCTTCCTGTGATGATGTACATGTACAGTAAATGTTACATGTTGAAAACTTTTACCAGTCTTATACATTGTATAGGCTTAGTAAGGTCTGTCATGAATACAGTAGGATGGAATATGATGGTGTTTTTCAATCAAATTTGTGCCTACTAGACTATTATAATACAAATTTCATAGCTACATGCTCCCATTCTCCTTGCCTGACCATTCCTAAGTACAGAGATGTAGAAACGCTTCCTCTGTTCACTTCAAGGTTGACTTTCTGTTGCATGTCAGACAACACTTTGTTTTTGTAGGAAGAACAGTTTGCTTTCATTGTTCTTATTAATCATTCTCTGTCATTATTGACAAACTACAAGGCAGTGGCTCTTCATGTCTGTCATTGTCATCTTTGAATCTGAAGTTTACAGATTTCAAGGCATACTTTAATATGTGCATTTTAAAATATGTGAACATACTGTCTTTTTGGTGGTGGACAAGCACTGTTGATTACCTGTCCATTATATCTTTTCCATTGTTAAATGTACACAACCTGTTCCATATGCTTTACAGTATCTTACCTGTTGCTGTGCAACTAGTTCATTTCCAGTATTCTAACTAATCTTTTTGCATTTTTTCTCTAGTTTTATAGCATTGTCTTGTTGTGAGCCCATTATCTCTACCTTCTGTCCAGTTTGTAAAAGTTGCATGACTTGTAGAGACATAGCTGGTGGTAGTACACTACAAATGTACCTTTATACTAACATACATGTACCTGACATGGTGTTACACACATTTTAGCTAGCTTCAAATTTCAGCAGTTTTCATTTTTCATTTATAATATATGTTAATAAACTTAAAGGGTTGCAAGAAAGCATGTGTCATGCCAAACTGAAAAAAAAAGTTCAGTCTGTCACATACAGTTGGACCAGTCTTATGAAAAACTTAAACTTTTCTCCAACTCAAAATTTGACTCACCAGAAATTTTCGACCGAATCACTCAGTCTTCCTCAGCTATCTGACCCAAATGCTGTGGACACGTGATTTTTCCCACGTGTGACGTCAGCAAAGGGTCAAAGGTTGTCTGAAGTCGATATCGCCCCCCGTCCCGGTTGAGCGATGGTTGAAGTGCCCTGATGTATATGGCCTCTTTTATGCCTCTCTTGAAGACTTCAGACAACCTTTGACCCTTTGCTGACATCACACGTGGGAAAAATCACGTGTCCACAGCATTTGGGTCAGATAGCTGAGGAAGACTTAGTGATTCGGTCGAAAATTTCTGGTGAGTCAAATTTTGAGTTGGAGAAAAGTTAAAGTTTTTCATAATGTAATTTACCAACTCAGATGAACTTTCATGCTGAAGTTGGACCAGTCTATTAACATGTAATTCATGTAATCCGTATGGTCAGCAGAAAATAAGTTGTTACATGGTACTCTCCAAGCAGAGGTTTGGGTTTTGGGGGTATTTTTAGCGTGTATTTTTAGCGTGTTTTTAGGCTTTTTTATCGGGGTTTCTCTTTTGCACTGAATTTTTTTCCCACCAAACCCAAAATTCCAGTGCAAAAGAGAAACCCCGATAAAAAAGCCTAAAAACACGCTAAAAATACCCCCAAAACCCAAACCTCTGCTTGGAGAGTAGTTACATGGCATTTGGGTGTGGTGTTTCTCGACATTAGACTTTAATACAGATTACAAGGTACATGCACCTGTCCTGAAACAACAGGAGCTATTTGACTAATTTGCATCACCCTTGTCTTGACTTGTCTAACTTTCAAAACATTTGCCTTCACTTATAATGCATATCAATCAATAATCCATGCTTAAAAACCTCTTTTCTGACAATTCTTCAGTGCCACTGACGAAAGGTGGTGGAAATGCTAACTGAAACGTCTAACCGTTTCCAAAATCATATCCAGTTGCTTGAGTAACTGTTCTTTGGCATATCTCTTTACCTGGATGTCTAACCTTTACCTGTGTACATGTACCATGTGTCTGCATTTATCTCCACACCATTCCATGTGCTTCTCATGAGATCGCTGTACTATGTATTTGGAACTACCATTTTGCATTATTATCTTTCTTTTTAATTTTGTTGTTTCTCAATTTGTGACAGGAGGATCATCTGGGTCAGAGACGTAGAGTGGACTTTCTGCAGTAAAAACGTTGCAACAGTGAACTCAGTCTGTCAGTCCAACTGAGACCAGTGACTAGCAAGAACTGTTAGTCTGACTGCTACTTCAACTTTTCTCAAGACGTTTTCTAGTCATTATGCAGCAAGTTTAAACTGTAATTTTCCAAAAATTGGACTCACCCAAATTTTCTACTGTACAAATCCACCGCTTCCGTGACGTCACGCAGATAACACACGTGACTCCGTGAGCAGTGGATCATTCCGTGACAAAGACTGGAGTTGTATGGTCCAAAATTTGGGTGAGTCCAATTTAATGTGTTGGAAAATTACAGTTTAAACTTGTTGCATAATGACTTCTACCAACACAGATGAACTTTCAAGATAAGTTTTCTAGTCCATAGCTACTTTGCTAGCTATGTGTGTTACATCTAAACTCTTGGTTTTCTATCTTGCTTTAAAATATCAGTTGTGTTCTGTTCTGTAACCATGGATGACAATGATGTCCACACAACTCCACATGTCAGGAGGAAACAAGGTTGGAAACTTGTGGTAATTCATGGAATTTTGAATGATATTGCATGTCACCTTGCAATGCTGGCTCTTGAGTCTGAAGTTATTCATTGTACATGTATGAGGAACTTCAACATGGTGCTATAATAGACTCTAAAGATGTCACTGACACTGTTTCTAGCCTTGTTACCTGACATGAAAGGAACACTAGATACTGTAAATCACTTTATATTCGCGGTAGTTTTACATGACTGTATATCCACAGTTTTCGCAGTCATTTCTGTACTACAAATTTATCATTGTCATGAACAAATAATTCGCCCACTTTCTTTCTTCTGCACCTGTCCCCACCGCAAACATATAGTTCCGCAAACAGGTCCATTTTTCTCAGACCGTGAATATAAAATGATTTACAGTACTGCACCAAAGTTAACTACCTCTTTGTAGAACACTTCCTTCACAAAAAACATGTCTGCCAGGTTTTTAACCGATAGGACAGTTCCTGTGTTGTTTTCTGTATCATAGATAGTAGAAAGATTGTTACAGTAATACACAGACCATCCAATCACATTAGTACATGTAAATATTGCTAAGTTATAAATAATGATTATGTCCTCTTTGCAGTCAAGTTTCCAATCTAAGATTTATTCAGATGATTGCACAATTCTTCAAAAGTTTTTATTTTGATTGCCATTCATATTTTACATAGTTTGACATGTCAGTTGAGTGGTTTTACTGTTGTGAGTTACTACATGTAGAACAGTTTGACTTGGCTGCAAAATTTAATGTATTTCCAATGACAATTTATATCTAGGACTTGACATGTAGTAGGAGTTTGTCATGATTATCAGAGTTGGCCATATCAGTATCGACTGTTAGAAACTGCCAGTTTAGAATAGTGTTTGCATGTTTTGCTACAGCCAGAATGGCAACCGTCCTTGTCTCTGTGAAATGTTTCAATATTATTAAACCCATTTTCATGTTATAATCCATCGGAATTGTGTGATGGCATGCATCAAATTTTACCACCTCCATTGTACGGAGTAAGCTTCAAAGGATCTTTATATTTTGTCTGAAAGAGTTATCAAGATGATTCAATAAAATAGTTCAATCTCACATGTTGCTTTCTCTTCCTTTATTGGGTGTAAATAATGCAATGTCAAGTTAAAAGATCATAGGAATCCCTACATGACTTAACACAACATTCCTCACTCAGCAGGAATTATATGAGCTTTGGTTAGGCCACACTGATTTAATATCATAGACGACATCTTCTAAAGACCCCCAAATAAACAAATGAATAAGTGTGTGCAGGCAAATAAAAAAAAAATCCAGCCAAAAAAATGCTGCCAAAAAAGATATAAAATCAACCAACCACTGGAATACATAGAGAATTTTACGACAAGGCCTTTTGCGGCATTGTACTGTGTTCTAGAGTTCTGTGGAGCCTTGGCAGCCTGGGTGCCATCCTCTGTAGTTACTGCCGGCTCCCTATTGTTGCTAGTTACTACGGACTACAGAGGATGGCACCCAGGCCAGAGCCTCATCAGAGATCATTTTTTTTAGAACAGGCGAAAATCAAAGTGCACATACATGTAGATGTCATCCATAGAATTAAATCAGTGTGGCCTAACTGAGAATCATTAAACCAGGAAAATGTGTGGGGCTGGTTTTGAGCAAACCTACATCAAGCACCACACCAGCCACAGATTTCTTTAAAAAATTAAATCAAGTCAGTGTGGCCTTGTGGATATACCTTACCTTATAGATAAGATGTTAAATGAGGTCCCATGATTGGGGAAAGCCACACCCCATACGTTAAACCCACTACACCTTTTGAAAAAGAGTAGGGGTATAGTTGGGTATGCGATGGTCCAAATTCCTACAACTGTCTGGAGTTGGTGATGTACTTCAACTCACCCGGACAGAGGCCTGGCAGACACGTCTCATATCAGCCACAATCCTAGAGATTTACAATCAAATTCAGACAGACAGACATGACACAACTGTCTTGTATCAGCCAATGAAAGGATACATGAACATGTTAAGGGGTAGTAACTTCATGTACATGTACATGTCAACCAATGATGTTGATCTACAAATATTCATGCTTGATCCAGTTACAGTACGTGTATTTACATGCACTGCTGATACAAACATGATTGTCAAAGTATATCAATAATCATAATCATAATCCTATATATAACTAATACAGTACTATAACAGATGTATATGTATGTAGACGATTACGTAAATTTATGCTTTTGGCTAATATTCCTATCCAGTTACTACAATAATACATGTATGTCGCTTCATCCACCATAATACATATGTACATTTGTACACAAGTGCAATTTTAAAAATTGTTGCAATATTAGCACCCTGAAAGTTTACAACCATAACTTACATCATTTACACATGTAGCATTGGACTTATGGTTTGAGGACTTCTACAGATTTGGTTAACTGAAAGTGTTTTGTCATCAAACTCCAGGCTGTAGGAATGTACACAATCATGTATTCTGCTTAGAAAAGAACATATGCAGTGTTTAGGCCACACCAATTTAATTTGTTGTTTGTCAGACTTTAAAAAAAATATGGAGCGACAGGGACGAATAAAAAAAAAACAGGCCAAGGCACCCCCATGATAGCAGGAAATGTTACAATATGAGCCATGAAGTGAACATACCAGGCTGGTTTATAATTAAGGCCACACCATGTAAATTTTATGGATGACGTCCGCGCACGCATTGATTTTGGCCTGTTCCTAGAAAAAAACAAGAAATTCCGCTTCCTGTAACTATGACCAAAGAGTCACGACAGTGCCGCAAATCGTCAGATTGACGTGAAACCCGTAACGCCGAAAGCCTGTGCCTGGTTGAAAAAATGAAAACAAAAATGAAAAAAAAACAAAAAACAAAATGGCACTGAAAAAAATCCTGTCAATAATTCCAAAGCAGTGCCGTTTTTGGAACTATTAACAGACAGGACGGTCCTGTCAGCAGTGCAATATTTCTTATCTAGGCATCTTGTTTTCTAGGGCCCTTCTTTTTTTTCCCTATCTCGCATTAGATTTAGGGTCTCCAAAGGACGTCATCCATAGAATTTACTTGGTGTGGCCTAAAACAATAGATGTTGAACTTTTAATGAAACAAAATTGCACTGTTACATTTAAAAATTAGGAAGAAAAGGACTTTCTTCAACTGTTGGGGCCAAAATATGTCTTTCATTCAGCATTTTGCAGTTGATTCTGAAACAAAACAATTTTTTTTGTTTGCAAATCCAAAAAAAAAAGGACAGGGCGAATCCGAGAAACAACAAATTAAATTGGTGTGGACTTACGTTTAAATGTTTACTTAGTTTGAAAGTATCAGAAATAACATGCTACTACCAATACATTGTATTTAATTATTTCTCAAAGGATTAATAGGATTTCATCTCTTTTTGTTGTAAGAAACTAGGATGAGACGTCCCCGTGTGTGGAAGTCTTGAGATGTTTGTTGTGAAAGATGTCCACAGTTGTCTCATGACACTCTCGTAAGTCATAGTCACAGAAACCAATCTGGAACTGACCCTTCAGAAAACAACAAGTTTACACCTGTTACTACAGAATTGACATGTTGCTACATTTTGTACTCTATGTGGTCACAGCTATGGCTTGGACACAGTTTCTTACACAAAATGTTTGATCTGACTTGTGTAAATTTGGTGAATCTACTGCTGTATACCTTTCTAGAGGAAATGTAAACCCTCTATTGCCCATCTTGCATTGGATTCCATAGATACACACATACACAATATTAAACTTATTATTAATTGTCCTCCCTTCATGACTTCTTCCCTGCCTAGCTGTAACACAGTTTACCTTTGTTGGTCTGAAGATGTCCAGTCCTCTCCCTATCTTGATTATCCAGCCATTACTAAATCTGTACAGAAAAAAAAAATGTTTCTGATCTTTTTTTATTGACATTTTACTAATGTTACAAACATGATTATCAAGAAACAAAATCTACATTTTCTAGATTCATGATTTAACGACCCTCCATCAGACTTCTCACAGCAAATTGCCATGTAAGGCCACGTCAATTTCGTGGATCTGTCTGCTTTTTTTCTGATTAGGCCACACTGACTTAATCTTATGGATGACAACCTGTGAAGACCTCCAAACTATAGTGCACGCGGGCGAATGAAAAATCCACCCCCCCCCAAAAAAATTGCTGCTAAATCACAGGATTACAAAGCTGGTATTGTGAATTTGCATAGCGACTTGCATGACAAACAGGCACATGCTGGCTTCTAGCGGCATTTATGAGTCGGCACTGTACTGAGTTCTTGAGTTATGTGAAACTTGGTCATCCTCCACAGTTACCACCGGCTCCCTACTGTGACTAGCTACTGGACTACGGAGAACGACACCCAGGCCAGAGCCTAAGAGTGATTGTTTTTTGAGAACAGGCAAAAATCAATGCGCGTGTGGATGTCATCCATAAAATTAAATCAGTGTGGCCTTAAGAAAAAAGGATCACACGTACCATTCTGGACAGTCCCTAAATACTCTTATGTTTGGTACCACCAGTTGTCCTTACAAGGACTGTCTCACTATCTCCATGAATGAAGGTATTATTTTTCATTGGACTAGGTGTGTCTGTTTCTGCATACTTTGGGTACTTTTACTTAGCTTTGGATTGTGGTGAATACTACATGTAGGTGGGTAGGTCTTGTAAAGACAAAGAGGAAGGTTAATTTAGGGCCCCCTATAACGGCTTCCCATGCGTGCAGCCAAACCTGTTTCTCGTACATGTATGTTGTATATATCCCATCCTACCCTCTGCGTTTACCTGCCATTACCCCCACCAATCAATCTGTCAATATTGAAATTCTGTTTAGCTTTTCTTCCAGTCTTGGCAGAGTTAGCACGTTGGCATAGCGTACCTGTCAAAAACCTAGAGGTGTCGACTGCACCTGTGCAGAACCCTGATTACCTCCATGAAAAATGGAGGTATTGTTTTTGCATGGCGCGTCTGTGTGTGTGTGTGTGTGTTTGTGTTTACAAACAATAACTTCAGAACGCCTTTATGGATTGTGATGATATTTGGTACCTTGGTAGGTCTTAGGAAGACAAAAGTTAAAATCACTATGTCTATATTGTGTTAATGTAGAGGTCATTTGCATAATTAATGAGGACGTGTTGAAATAAAGTATGACAAAGGAGAGGAATTTTACATTAAAAATATTGCAATTTGAATTTAGAAAACCATAAATTGAACTAGATTGTGCTAATTACGACCTTATTTCCATAGTCAATGAGACAAAAAACATTTACAAAAACTCATATATTTCATGGAGGTATGAGATCTCAGAATTCTTGTTTGTCACTGTTTTCACTGGATTTTTGCATCAGAATTTTGCCTGTTGCAGATTATATATTTTCTGACACAATATTCGGAAACTACACACGGGATTTAATCTTGTATACGCCGGGCTCAAAATTCATTTTTGGGAATAGGTGCACTGGTGCACCCAACCTGAAAAATTAGGTGCACAAAATTTTTTTTGGTGCACCACATAAAACCTAATTACAGATCTTACTGCTCCTCTTCTGACCTTGAATCTGAAATGGGAGCTAACTTCAAAAGCTTAAACAAGAACTACAACAAAGATTCTGATTTTTCTGACACTTATAGATGCCAAGAATATCCTGCGCACTATTATACATTTGATATGTACAAAAATACCTACAAAAATATTTGGGTGCACCAGTGCACCCACAAAGAAAAAATAGGTGCACAGCTCCAATTATGGGTGTACTAAGGTGCACATGCACCGAGTATTTCGAGCCCTGATACGCAAATACAACCTTATATGAGACCTTATATAAGTGCTATGCACAATGCATTACGGGTTTTGCACAGGAGCAGTATTTTATGCCAACGTGCTGGTATAGAGTTGCTTTTAGTCGTGTGACATGACTTCAGTTTGGAATAGAGGACATGCTGACCTGATTTCCCGGTCATGTAATGTGTGAGAGTACTGAACCTCCAGGCTGATGCCGTACTGCTGAAGACTCTCTCCTAGTCCCCCCAGTCTGCCCTTCTGCTCCTCCTGCCGGGGACCCTACAAACACATCAGCGATCTGAGTTGGCCTGTTTTATAATAAGTAAGAATAAACAGAGAAGTACTGGTTGTTGGGTCAGACCAGCAGGTATTTGTTATCTTTCCAGTTTCCACTTCTTTATTCATATAACCAATATCAATATTCACAATATTGAAGGTACATGTATGACAGTTGAGTGGGACTCCTTTGCTACTCTACAGACTGCACCAGTGCAGGTATTCAGAAAAACATATCTGGAGCCTTGAAAGTGTTATTATTACCTTCGCCAAGAAGGTTTTGTTTTCAGTAGCGTTTGTATGTGTGTATGTTTGTGTGTGGTTTAGCAAGATAAGTTGAGAAGCTGTGGATGGATTGGAATGAAACTTGGTAGGTGGGTAGGTCTTCATGAGACCTAGAAATGATTAGATTTTAGGCCCCCTGGCGGCTTTCCTAGGTACTGCAGCAGAACTTCCGGTTTTGATATCTCGTGATCTGGACATGCTAGGATCACGAATTTTGGATGGCAGATAGCTCTTGGAATAGGGAAGAAGTGACATGAGTTTAAGCCCCCTAGCGGCTTGTTCTAGAACTGCAGGAGCATTTGTTGAAAAAATTTCGAAGGAGGATAACTCAAGAACCGGTTAACGGATTGTCATGATTTTTGGTATGTAGGTAATTGAAGTGATGCTTGACATAATCAGATGACAATTATGCAAAACAGGAGGTAATTAACATAATTAATGAGGAAATTCTATAAATCTGCTTTGTTCGATAATAGAACTATGAAACACTTGTGACATCTACTTGAGAACGAGAAAAACATCCGAGGATATAGATTATGTAAATGAGGACCTAATTTGCATAATTAATGGCAAATTTTTCATAATTTCATAGTTGTAACTGCTGGGAATTTCATACTTGCCACATTCGGAAGTTAAGTGAAGGTGAACATCAATAAACAAAATTATTCAAATCATGATCTCATTTGCATAATTTATGAGGAAGTGCTATAATAGCCTTTTTGTTAAGATAAGGCTGTCATTGGGTGGAGAATATGATCAACTGACATAATCCATGCAAATGAGGCTCTTATGTACAAAATCAATGATTAAAATTCATTCAATTTGTATAATTCGTCAACCGCCAGGGTTAACATCATTTGGCGAAGGTATGAGATCGTGGAACTCTTGTTATACATGTAGTTATAATCAGCTACAAATCAATGTAATAAGTTGTTGATGAAATGTGAATAAAAATCTACATATAACTCAGTTGTT